AGTATTTAAAATGGATTAAAAATCATGTCTATAGCCCGAGTTCCCATCCCCTGTTATTTTATATAAGAATATTCGAGAAAGTTTAGGGGAGATCACTCCCGGTTTATTTTTTACATGAAGAGAACCCGAATCAAAATAGAATTGTGGTTACTATTTTACTTGTGCATAGAGAATTGTGGTTAGACACTTGTATTTTGCAACCATTTACGATTTTTTTTTGCTTGCCCCTAAAATTTTCTTTTAATAAAATTTAAAATGGTTTCTGTTTGATAACAATCTACCCCTTTACACAAGAACCAGAAATTTTGAAGAATCCCAGGGGTGAGAACTCCAAGACAATTAGAAAAAAACCACCCATTACCAAAATGTTTTTTTTTTTTGTGTGAAAAAATATCTCGGCTTATATTACATTATATAAATGTAGCATTACAAAATGTTCCCAATTATTTAAAAAGCCAATTCTGTTAGCTTGAAACTGTCCGTAACACGTTTCGACAAACTGTCTTCGTCAGATAATGGAATTGCAAGAAAAGATGGTCTGTTATTTATCTGATGGGTTATCTCCCATTTTCTTTAAGTGGAGGCGTTGACTGTTCGCGTATGGGAAGCACATATAGAGGGCTGGTTGTATGGGGTGTGCATATAGAGGGCTAGTTGTATATGGAATAGAAACATCTTTTCATACACAGCGGAGAGTGATGTGAGATTCTGTGTGATATTTTTTTAGAGGTGTGTTTAGTGAGGGTGTGTGTAAGATGGTGAATGGTGTTTTTATAGGTGTTTTTCTATGAGAGCAGTGTGTGATAAGGGATTTAGTTCTACTCTTTGACTTCGCTAAGTTTAGTTACCGTTAGTCAAATTAGACTCATACTTAGTCATTTTTAGCGTCACAGTAAGTCAAAAGTAATTACAGTTGGTCAAATGTAGAGTCAAAGCTTGTAAAAAACAACCCCTACTTAATAAAATACCGTTACAGTTATTAACGTCAGAATTAGTGGAATGTAGAGTCACAGTTAGTCAAAAGTAGTGTCAGTTTTAGTCAAATATAGTCACTGCTCCCCCGCCCCCTCTTCCGTTAGAAGACTAACCTTATACACGATGACTATCACCCGACCCCCCGACCCCCACCCCAATATTCCTTGTGATAGAAATAAAAAAGTGTGCATCTAAGCACCCCCTTATTTACCTGTTAGGCTACACACATACAGACCAACTAGGGAATCGAACAGAAGACCACCCGAGTTATCTTATACCGCATCAACTTGACCACTTCGCCCCACAATAAAAAAATCAATAAATAAAAAAAATCATTAAAAAAAATCAAAAAACCAATTGTACTGTGTACGCACATGCATTTGCATTTAATTCACAATCAACCAACTCACAAAAAAAAACAACCCCAAACCCGATCCTGTGTGAATGAAACCTAATATCATTACGCGTATTTAAAAATGGGATTTCCCGGCGGTCCGCTCACAAAGCGCTGAGCGTGTTTGCCTTGAGTCAGGAGGCTTGTGGCTACATCGGTGGTTTGTGGGGTCGGGGTCTGCATGTTGCTCACCAGGTGACGGTCCTGGGCGGGCCGGGTTCTTTGTGTCGGCGCTGATTAGATGGATGAGGGGGGGGGGGGGGGGGTAGTGTCAACATCTGCTATGCCTTGCTCTCTTAATGGGGTATTTTTTTTTCTAGAACGTATAAAGGGCAAATAGTTTTAAAAAAACGCTTGTAATCTAGACGCGATTGAAATGCAAATATAACGTAAATTAGTTTAAAAAAATCCTTTGAAGACGCACATAGTCACATATTAGAAATAAAAACCACGACATTTCGAATTTGTATGCACAAATATATAAACGTAATGCATAATAAAACATTCGATCGCATGTTACAATACGGCTCATCTAAGACACACACACACACACATACACACACACACACTCCCCCATTATAAGAATACATACGCACGAACGCACACACACAAGCACAAGCAAACACAGGCGAACACTCACACAAACACTCACAAATCCGCACACACAAACATCACACACACACACACACACTCACACCAGGCTTCATGTCTTGACCCCCCCCCCCCCCCCCCCTCCTCGCCCCCTTCACCCAGAAATAGAAGAATAAAGATGATAAAATGTCTTCCTGTGTCCTCAGCTAATCGCCTGTGGCGGGCTACGGCCAGGAATAATTTTTAAAAATCTCCCCCCCCCCCTCCCAGTGCCCCACCCACAGTCTTTAAGCCCAAGATTCCTCCTCCTAACCAGTCCCCTACCCTAAGACATCCGGTGTCCAAGCTATGGACATGCTGATACCCGAATTGAGGTCAAAGGGATTAAGGTCATCTGTCCTCTTCTGACTTAAATACATCTATCAAAGTTCAAGAAAAAGAGAACTGATATACATATATATATATATATATATATATATATATATATATATATATATATATATATATATATATATATGTGTGTGTGTGTGTGTGTGTGTGTTTGTTTATGTGTGTGTGCAAGTGTCAGTGCGGAAAGTTTATGTCACAAATAAAAACAAAGTGTCAAATTATCAGTGTCAAAAAACCTAGCGTTACATTTATGTTACAATCGACATTTAAATATTTTATTGTTAATTAACTGGCCAGTTTTAAATTACTCTGTCCATTGTAACGTGAGAAGGTAACGCCACTTGAACTCAAAATATTGATCAAAATCGGAAAATTTCACAGTATATATATATATATATATATATATATATATAAATCCATGATCATTAAATAAAAATGTTGTGCAATTCTTTTAGCGATTGGGTAACGCAATATTTATACAAGTCTTATTTTCTTACATGCGCGAACATTGTCCAAATTTGTTTTGTAACATTAAAGCCAAAACGGGCTTTAAATTCTAAATTTTAATAATTTCAAAATTGATTTTAAAGATTTTAACTAAAGTCAACATTTGCATCACGATTTCAGAGGTGATTTTTTTTTTAAATTAACAAGTTTAACGATTTGACATTTACGAATTTTTTGTGATATCAAAATGCAACATTCGAACCATTGTTTGTTTTTTTAAATTAAAAACTGAGAAAAGAGCATCTATTTATAGATACAATCAAAGAGGAAATTTCCGATTTGTCGACCTATATTCTAACGAAGCAAACAGTTGAGATAAATGTATAGACTATAGACCTACTTATATCCGATTTATTTGACGTTTATACTCAAAACATATCGTACAATCGAAACACATGCATAATAGAGCAAAAGAAGTTCTTTCATGGGCGAATTAAAGATTTTATGATACCAGTCTAAATTAGTTACTTAAAAGCACAAACTTATGCGTAAGAATTCCATGATTAATGAATAGGCCTACGTCGTAGGTTTCGAACAAATGTGTTGGTTTGAAAACCCCAAAAAAATCGAATAGCAGTATAACGGATAACTTGTTTTGTTTATTGTCATCATTTTTATTTTTATCGTTGATATCTTGACGCAATATTGACGCGTTTCTGCTTTTAACGCTTTATTCGCATCAACACATCTTACAGACGTTTCTCTTTTTATTTTCCTTTGGTGGTGTGTGTGTGTGTGTGGGGGGGGGGGGGGTATCAGAGAAGAGGGAGGGGGGGGGGCGTCATAAGGGTGGGTGTCACCCGGTGCGGTAGCCGAAGGTGTTGTATCCCCCTGTATGAATTTCGTATTTTTTGTTGGTGTCAACCCTCCCCTACAAGTCTTTATTATAACGTTACTAGGAAAGATGGGCGGGATTAGGCAGACATCAGTAAAATTATGCAACTCAGCAAACGATTTCCGTGGCACATGTCCATGTTTTAAAGATAACTAAGTGCCCCCCTCCCTACCTAACTAATAAGTGGACACTGAGCTCGTTTTGAATTGTCGCCACTCCAAGACCCGTCGCCCCCCCCCCCCCCCACCCCACCCTTTACGACCCTGACAGCAGTGACGGACCGCTGGGCGGAGGGATCACTTGAAACCGACTCACTCAACACTCAGATTAATCCGCCGCTGGACGTCCGTTTGTTTGGCCGGCTATACGAGACCGGTTGAGTCACCGGCTAGCCGGCAGTTCAGACCGGGATTTTTTTTTTGGGTGCTTTGATATGGGGACAGACATTGGGGGAGGTCTAGACTGGGCTTTAGATGAGGAGACTATCGTCGATTGAGGGGACTATCGTCTAAAAGTGGTGTGTGTGTGGGGGAGGGGGGAGGTATGTGTGGTTGTATGTGGAGGGGGTAGGTGGGTTATTGGAGCTGAGATCTGATGAAGTTAACCAAGAAAGAGACCAACATTTGTCTCCGGCTTGACATTGATGTATCCGGTCTTTGTGTATTCTGGGTAGATGGGAAGTCAATCATTGGAGTGTCCGTAGGGGGTGATATAGGGGGTGACGTTGGGGTGACGTAGGGGGTGACGTAGGGGGTGGCGTAGGGGGTAACGTAGGGGGTGACGTAGGGGGTGACGTAGGGAGGGGTGACGTAGGGAGGGGGTGACGTAGGGGGTGATATACGGGGTGACGTAGGGTGTGACGTAGGGTGTGACGTAGGGGGTGACGTAGGGGGTGACGTTAAAATATTCAAGAGTTACTTTAGGTTATCTGGGAAAAAAAAACAAAAATAAAATTAGGCAGAAAAGAACTCGTGATACATAGCATGGCTGTTATGAAAATAGTCTCGGTACAGACTTTGTAAAGGAAGTTTTTAGGCCGATATTCATTCGTCTGATTCAGTTGATATAAAACACAGTCTCAGACGAATCCGTTTCGAGATTTCGAGTACCAGGGATTATTTTTAGGGGTGGCTGTTATTTCATCAGCTCTGCCCCACCTACGCCAGGCACTCGGGCATACTCTTAGGCACGGTTCCAAACAACTCACCCGCACATACACACACATGCACGTGCACACACTCGGATACACACACACACACGTTCACACACTCGGATACACACGCACAGCGAAGAAAAAAAAAACTTTACCTGCAGACACAGTCAGAAGCAGGGAGAGAATCAGGCACAGATAAATCCAAGTTAGATAACTCAACATGGTTGTCGTTCTTGGCTCGTATCAACAGCGACAGTCCCTCGTAAATCCTTTGAACTGGGTTATCAAACCTCGACTTCCATTGAATATATCCGGGTAGGCAATGCGAAACACTGACTCCGAATTTTTAAAATCGATTTTTCTAACCTTCACAGAATTAGAAAACACACTGTTTAGGAATATATTAGGTAAATAAATTAACCATAACACACACTGAGTTGAGAAATTAAACCACGTTTAACTATATCAAGAAATTACAAATTGAAGAAATTAACCACGTTTGACTATATCAAGACATTACGAATTGAAGAAATTAACCACGTTTGACTATATCAAGACATTACGAATTGAAGAGATTAACCACGTTTGACTACATCAAGACATTACGAATTAAAGAAATTAAACAATGTTTGACTATATCAAGACAGTAGTACCAAACATAGACCTTTAAAAAAAACAACAGTAGACCCAGCAATCAATGAACCTATCCATTACTTATTCATCTTACCCCCCACATTACATCAATACCTATCCACATAACCTCAAAGCAAAAAAAAAAAATCAGTCTAAAACAGATTGTACTCTCCTACCCCAAATAAATAATTCCAATAGTTCAAGCAGATTTTTCTCTTCTACTTAACCCCACTCCCCCCGACTGACTGTTGCTTTGAAATCGGTCATGTGTGAGCAGTAGAAAAAAAATCACTTTCTGAAACAACCCATCACGGTCTACTAGTCAGCAGAAGGCACGGCAGGAAATGGGTGAAATATCAAAGATAGGCTCCACTTTCAGTTAAATCCAGGTTATTCCGTCTTTTAAACACTTAAAACAATTTTTTTATTGCAATGCACATACAAAATAGCAACAGTGGAATTAAAACAGATTAAATTTAAACAATAACACTTTGTTTCGATAACAAATTGAACACGGAAGCATTTTTTAAAGTAAATAACATGTGTAAGTTAAACGGCATGCGTTTTAAAATTTGAAAAAAAATCTGTCTTTAAACTTTATACGTTTGAAACGGAAAGATTTGTATTAATTGTTATACATACATGTATAAGGTAAACGGAATAAAAACAAAAAGTTAATTAAACAACTTATAAATTTGAAAGATAAGTTTTTTTTCTTTTTTATTAATCGCAGACTTCACACAAATTATTTAAAAAAAACAACTTATGTTTTGTTTTAAAGCAGTTAAAAAAATAGCACACGACGTTAATTAAATTAAAACAATAAAATAAATTAAAAAGTTTTCCAAACTTTTATACACAACGCTGATTAACAAGTAGCAAAATCCTCTTTTTTTTTTCAATCTCAGAACAAGTTTCCTTTGGCAGAAACTCACACGTAACAAAACAAAGAGAAAAAAAATTCAAGAGAAAATAACTCCGGGTAGATGAGCAACACCCTCCACCTACACACCGTGTTGAGCAACTGGGTACACCGGCGCCTCGCTCACGCACTCACTCGTGTGCTACGGACGTCTGAGAGGTGAAACATCATAAGTTTTGTTCAAAACTGAACCAAAAAAAAGTTCCTGGAACTCCGCGCTCTGGCACGAGACGGCTGGCGGGGAACAGCGCGCGCTCATCCTGGTAACTAGTCAGCGAGCGATACCAAACACCGTTATACTATGTAGCGATACCAGGTATCGGGTAAAAATTACTGATCGCTATTTAAAATAGAAGAATAATTATAACTCGTACATTTTTAATACGATCACAACTAGAATCGATTTTTAAAATTTAAATGCGATACTAAATTAAGTAAAACGATATTTCGGGATTATATAACTACGTATAAAAGTACGTACTGATGAATTTTTTCTTCTTTTTTTTTCTATATATTCTTCACAGTTTCTTTATTCTCGAGGCTGTAAATTTTAATTAAACTCCAGATAAGAAACTTATAATCAGCTTATGTAAAGTGGCGCGACCTGGTGGCGCTCGGCCTTGGGAGAATAATCAACTCCCCACCACGGTCATAATCCAGCCCATTTTCAAAAGACGAGACCGAATTACGGGCAGAGGAGGGAGCGCTAATGAAATCGATTTTTTTTTTATTTTCGTAGGGGGAGAGGAGAATCGATACCGAGAAATCGCGGAGATATTAGGAGCGGGGAGGTAGCGGCGGAGAGACTTTAGCGCTATATTTTAGGGCGAGGTGGATTTTTTTTTCTTTTCCATCCTGGCATCGTAGACCGCGAAGCTAACAGCCAGCACGTGATGTGAGGGGAGGGTGCGCGCGCAGCCTTGAAGTGGGTTTGGTGTCTGTTTCGAAATATTTAAAAAAAAAAAAAACAACTCCCCGTTCCCATCAAATAGCACGGGGATTTTTATACGTATTTTTTTTCCTTTTACTCCGTATATTAAAAAATAAAAACCAATGGCATCACGCTTGAATGAATCTTTTAACAGGTCAAGGGGACGGGGACAAAAAACAAAAGCCATCTTGTTGGACCAATCAAACGAAAGTGACAAAATACAAGTGTTTAATCAAGCGTGACGGGGGAAGAGAGAGAGAGAAAAAAAACAGCCGTGGCACGAGGATTGACGAGTTAAACGAGTGCCGGAGAGGACTTCTGACAGTGCCGGTACTTACAGTGCAGGCTCGTTAGAAGAAGATATAGGGGTGGGCGGGGTGGGGGGTGTCTTTTCTGCGTCAGTAAATTTGAAAGTGACAGCGCGTTGCCTACATGTCATGCTGTTTTTGGATTGCTTATATTAGACACTTTTATGGAGTTGCAAATAGGGCTACATTTATAAATTCCCACGCCCCTAAAATGGGCGTATCTTAAAAACTCAACATCGGAGGCTATTGAGTTGATTTGGAGCTGTCCGGCTGTGGTCAGTGTCAGGAGTCGTCATGCGGCAGTTAGGCCCAGGCACACCACCCCGTGGTGCCCTACAAGGGTTAAGGGCTGATTTACGTTTAGATTACATATAATCAGTGGCGTCGCAAGGTCTGGTGTCACTCGGTGCAGCATCTCATGGTGTCACCCCCCCCCCTCGAAAGTTTATACATATTTATACACACACACACACAGACACACACACACAGACACACACACACACACACACACACACACACATATATATATATATATATATATATATATATATATATATATATATATATATATATATATATATTAAGGTCTACTTAGGCCTATACATATAGTTGCAATTGGTGTTACACCCCTTCCATTTTGTCTAATAGCGTCAATTTGTGCGCACATAATACTAATTCATGTGGAAAAAGCATCGTTTTTATCGTAAATTATTATATTTTGGTGTCACCCCATACCTGGTCGTTGATTGACTTATATGTTATTCAAAATTTTGTTGATGGTGTCACCCCTATCGGTTTTAAAGTGTGTACAATTAATAAAATAAATATATTTATAATACTCAGTTATTAATACAGCTGGATTAACTCTGATTAATGATTAATTGATCTGACAAAAATTCATATTTCTGCTATATATTTTAGACTTTTTAGTCATGGTGTCACCCGGTGCGGTCCGGACCCCTCCCCTGCCTCGCGATGATTCTGGATATAGTTAAGTTACGATGTCGCTTCATCCACACATGAATTTATTAGAAGAGAGTTTCGAGCTTGTTAGACCGATGCTATCTGTCAGACTGTGGCATCACGGTTTTATTTTTTTTTAAAACAAAGTCTACAAGACCCCAGCAAAACAGACGCATGATACAAGAAAGTAATGAGATAATATGTGAAATGCGAGTGCTTTAAAACCTAACGGTCCTTGTAGGGCAAGTGAAGTAGAGCTCATCTATTTCGGTGACTAGTCATATTAGGGTATACTGTTTCTCACACCATGCCAAACTGCCTTTAGTCTCCCTAACTTGTACGCGGTTTCGAACTCGGGACTTTCGGGATAGCAGACGAATGCTCTACCACTGGACCACACCGTCCCATTATATAGCTAATCACAATTTATATATATTTTAAAAAAATCCTGGCACATGCTGGGTACCCAATTAAGTCTAATCAACTCAAGTGCCTCATTAAAAAAATCTGCTGTTCATGTTTAACACACATTGAAATCCACACACTTCCTCTTGCAGTGGTGAATTCTGGGTAAAAATATTACGTCACGTGCTCAAGGCTGCACATCAAAGGTATTTCGTGCTTTGATTTTACAATAATGAATATTACATCACTGGGTCATTAAATAAAAGATTCCAATTTAACTTGGTAATTATGTCGTGATTGTGGAGAAATCATTCGAGCATGATGTTTTGAAGTTTTATTTTATTGGTCTGAGATTTCGTTTTTTTTTTTGGTGTTTGCATAAGGTTAAGTAAAACCAGAACTTGCTGTTAATTCTGGCCTATACAAAGTTGGTCTATGCCTGCAAGTCTTTTACAAAATGGACATAACTTCCAGATGTGCTGTATCTGTTCATGTATCTTGAGCTATACCTGTCCATGAGCTATACCTGTCATCAGTTGTAACCAGTCCATGAGTTGTAACCAGTCCATGAGCTATACCTGTCCATGAGCTATACCTGTCCATGAACGTTACCTGTCCACGTGTTATACCTGTCCATGAGTTATACCTGTCCATGAGTTATACCTGTCCATGGGCTATACCTGTCCATGAGCTATACCTGTCCACGAGCTATGCCTGTCCATGAGCTATACCTACCCATGAGCTATACCTGTCCACGAGCTATACCTGTCCATAAGCTATACCTGTCCATGAGCTATACCTGTCCACGAGCTATACCTGTCCATAAGCTATACCTGTCCATGAGCTATACCTGTCCATGAGCTATACCTGTCCATGAGCTAAACCTGTCCATGAGCTATACCTGTCCATAAGCTATACCTGTCAATGTGTTACACCTGTCCATGAGCTATACCTGTCCATGTGTCCATGAGCTAAACCTGTCCATGAGCTATACCTGTCCATGAACGTTACCTGTCCATGAACGTTACCTGTCTATGAGCTAAACATGTCTATGAGCTAAACATGTCTATGAGCTAAACCTGTCCATGAGTTATACCTGTCCATGAGCTATACCTGTCCATGAGCTAAACCTGTCCATGAACTATACCTGTCCATAAGCTATACCTGTCCATGAGCTATACCTGTCCATGAGTTAAACCTGTCCATGAGCTATACCTGTCCATGAACGTTACCTGTCCATGAACGTTACCTGTCCACGTGTTATGACAGGTCCATGAACGTTAACTGTCCACGTGTTATACCTGTCCATGAGCTATACCTGTCCATGAGCTATACCTGTCCATGAGCTATACCTGTCATGAATTATACCTGTCATGAGCGTTACCTGTCCATGTGTCCACGAGCTATACCTGTCAAGAGCTATACCTGTCCATGTGGCCACGAGCTATACCTGTCCATGTGGCCACGAGCTATACCTGTCCATGTGGCCACGAGCTATACCTGTCCATGTGGCCACGAGCTATACCTGTCCATGTGGCCACGAGCTATACCTGTCCATGTGGCCACGAGCTATACCTGTCCATGTGGCCACGAGCTATACCTGTCCATAAGTTATACTTGTCCATGAGCTATACCTGTCAATTACCTATACCTATCCATGAACGTTACCCGTCCATGAGTTATACCTGTCCATGAGTTATACCTGTCCATGAGTTATACCTGTCCATGAGTTATACCTGTCCATGACTATACTGTCTACGAACCATATCTATTTATAGAACCATCACCTACAGACCATACCTACCTAAAAGCTACATTAATTAAAAAGAATTAAAACCTTAAGCCATCTACCTTCCTCTCACCTGCGCGCATCTTTCACCTGAGACAACCTGCCTAATCTGTCTCCAATCTCCAGACAATGCCAGATCTGACATCTAATAATTAGTGCCATCCGTCATAGTCATACAAGATGCAGCACGGTACCCACTTTAATTAGTTTAGCATAATTAAACACCCACAATCAATAAAAAGACCGAACAAATATTAGAAATAAAAAATTCAATTACTCATGCATAGGAAATTAATTATAAAATTAATTACAATGTTTAATTAATGTTTAATTATTTCTAAGAGTTCTCGCACCTGAAATTTTCACTCGCTCGTGAGCGTTAGTCACTTCAGCATAGTTGTCATATTAGTCACTTCAAAATAATTGTCATTTTTTTTTTGAAAAGCAGAACCGTCGTGGGTAGAGTGGTCACGTGAACGTATTTGAAATACACTTGTCACACCCTTGAAGTGTGGGGCGGGGCGTGGGAGGCTCCTCATTATTCCCCCCTGCCACCCTCCACCCTGCCCTCACTCCCCCCGGGGGGCTGGGCGCCGTTGCATTGTGTCACTCCTAAAGCTAGTGTTACGACGGTCTTTTGGAAATATCCCGTTAATCATTGATTGCAATGGGAAGCTGTTTTGTGAGTGCGTGCGTGTGTGTGTATGTGAGTGTGTGAGAGTGTGTGTGTGCCGGCGT